TTTCTACTTTGTTCTGATTGAAAGCAGACTAAGGATGAACTGGGGGAAGATGGGAGGAAGGTAGACTGCATGCGTTGACCGGGTCAACCAAAGCCTGAGCATTGTTACTACTGTGAATGGCTTAGGCCTATGTTTATTTGGCTGTTTTCTGTAGGACCAGGCATTGTTTGTACTGTGAATGGCCTGGTCGCTGTGTTTATTTAATTGTTTTCTGGGGAACCAGGCATTGTTTTTACTATGAATGGTCTGGCTACCTTAGTTAACTCTGAAGGTTTGTCTTATTGAAGGGGTTTAAATTCTTGTTTATTCTGAGGGATGATTTTTTGTCTAAGGCTAAGCATTGTTTCCATGGTGAATGGTTTAGCCTGAAAACCATGCACATAATTTAAACTAAGTATAAAGGAAAGTATTTTATGTATATTTGCATGTGAACTGGCAGCTGGGCATTGTTTTTACTGTGAATGGTCCAGCGTTAAGCCATATCATTTAGAAGAGAGAATGAAAAATACAGAGTATAAATGGAAATAGTTTGGGGCAAGCTGAATATTGTTTCTACTGTGAATGGTTCAGTCTCCTGCTCATATTTATTTTTTCTTTTTTAACAAAGTCAGAGAAATACTAAAACTTTGGATATTAAACAGCTCAGGTCGACTAGGCATTGTTTCCATGGCGAATGGCCTAGTCATTTGCCCAAAAAAAGAAAGAAGTAGTTGTGCAACCTGTTCGTGTATATCATAAAGACAAGCTGGGCATTGTTTCCATGACGAATGGTCCATCTCTGAGTCTTATGTAAGATGGGTATAAGGATTCAAGAACTTGAAGATTCGCGAACTATTTATATGGAATGAACTTGGGATGGTGAGAGTACTTGCATTCGTGGTTTGGTTTGCGTGTGACTGGATGGGATGACTAATTTGTTTGAATTTCAGTTCTATAGGTAGTTGCTTTAGTTGCTCGCCACGTGCTAGAGCCATAGGTAGTCAATTCCTGCATTTTCTGTAATAACTTTTTTTACTTTGGTCAATTCCTGCATTTTCTGAGATATTTTTTTATACTTGGTTTTGTATAAATCTTGGCAAGCTACTTTTTCTATGGGAAACGCTGCTGAAATTTCTACAAATCCAAGAAGTTAGTCAACTTTTGACTTGTCAGAGTTCAACTTGTCCTTTTAATATATCTGGCTTAGTTTAAATCTGAGAAGTCTCATTTTCTAAAGGGAGTGCTTTCCAATTTTTTGCTAATTCAGGGAGTTAGACAAAATTGAACTTTGGGAAGCCAAAGTTACTTTCAAAATCTGAACTTAGTCTTGTATAAATTTAAGAATAACACTTTTCAAGATGGAGTGCTGCCGAAATTTTCTACAAAATTAAAAGAGTTGGTTCAATTCAGTCTAAAGTTGAGCTCGATCTGTTGTTCGAGTTCATATCTGACTTAGTATAAATCTGGGAAGTCTCCTTTTCTAAAGGGAGTGCTGCCCAAATTTCTACTCATTCAGAGAGTTAGACATAATTTTGCTTTCCAGGAGTTAGAGATTATTTTCTGCTTTAGATCTGGCTTAGTATAAATTTGGAAAGTCTCCTTTTCTAAAGGGAGTGCTGCCCAAATTTCTACTAATTCAGAGAGTTAGACAGAATTTAACTTTCCAGACTTAGAAATTATTTTTATATTCATATTTGAGCTTATATAAATTCTGGAAAGACACTTTTCCTACGGGAAGCGCTGCCGAAATTTTTTTAGTTTAAAGGAGATAGACTATATTTTGACATGGGGCGATTCAGACAATCCACCCAGAATAGGGGAGATTCCGTAGTAGGTCTACCTTTAACTTAAGCATTTGGTTTAAAAGTAGACTTAAGTTCAACTTATAAGAAGATTTTGAGTGAGGATGTATTATGTAGTTGTATTCTCCATACACTTATGTTCTTAGCTTGGGGATTGGTCTGCCGTGTGTTACAAGTCCTTTTGATCATTTGATCCAAGTTCAGGGCTAGATCCAGCTTGATCCCTTGAGGATCACTTTCTGTTATCACTGATTACAGGTCGGTTGTCGATTCATCGGTCTACGACTCAATTTGAAGTCTCCCTCCACACTCAACGTAAAAGGCTTTAGCCCTGGTGATTTCGTTGTTTTATTAAGGTTTCACCTGGACTTTTATTGAATGACCATTTAACAAAGGTGACGAGTATTTAATTAAGGTTGGTTGGATGGGAGGTTTTGGGGCTTGGATGGCTAAAGCGAGGGGTATGAGCGTCGAAGGTGGTTGGGGTTGACTCCGTGTAGTGTGTAGGCTGTTGATTTGGTTCGTTGATGTGATTGCTGATATTTGTTGTGAATCAGATTCTGGATAAGTAATTTGTCATTCTTGATGGAATCTAATCTAAAGGTGGTGTATAAGATTTCATGGTATCTTATTAAAAGACAGTTGCCTGCGATCACGCATATACGTATTATTGTGAAAGACCCCAGCGAGATCGTGAAAAAGTGATAATCACATACTTAACCCTTATATATGTATACATAGGTATACTTGGGATGAATGTTTGCGTGGGTTGAAGAGTTCCATACCAAAAACCCTATTCAGAAGCCGAGGCTGAAGGGCTTAGGGGAAGCCTCTCCTTCTATTTTGGTTTCTTGCTTTTTGATGATTTTCTCAGTCGGACGTTTGGTCCTGGTCGGGATTCGAGGTCCTTGTCCAGGAGTCCCCAAGCCCTGGACTTTACAGGGGGGGGGGGGGGGGAGGTTCCCTCGCGCAGAGCCTATTTGATTTGCCTACCGAGACACTCAGATCGAGAGCCGACGGTGTCGCGGTGGCTGCACGGCTATTCCTTCAGCTGTGCAATGTCGTGAAGGGTTAGGCCCTCACGACACTTCGAGTATGGCACTTGAGTGTCATAAGCGGTACTCGGATCCACGAGGGACCGCTTGATTATGGGCACTACATAGTACGCCATCGTCGCGACTGCATGCGTATGTCTGAATAGCGGGTTGGTATGAGGTAGGCCCTCGGCTGTGCAACTTTATATTAAAATCTCACGCGCGACGTTTCACCGCCCTAGTGTGTAAAAGGTTATGGGATTACGAAGGGGCCGACATATATGGACGAATGTTTTTGAGATTGCTATAGGCCGCCAACGCCGCGCGAAAAAGGGAGGGTACCCAGGGCTATGATTTTGTCTACTAGGCAGGGAACCTTCGGCCCATTTTTTATCTTTTGCTCTTTGGAGTTTTTATAGTTGGACGTTATAGTCCGTGGCAGCCATCAAAGTCAAAACCCTTGATGTTCGACCGCCACGACAGCTTAAAGCTGTCTACTCAACCCCTCTGCACAAGGTGCAGAAGAGGGTGTGGTCTTCAACCGCGCATGGCGGTTGTCCAGCGTCAAGAGATTAACCCTCAAGGCGCATGTCAACCGACTCTTGAGTGTCGAACGCGGCCCTCGCGATTAACGGGGACCGCGTGAGAATGGGTACCACGTAGTACGCCTTCATTGCGACTGCTTACGTACAATTGCATTGCGAGTCGATATGCGATAGCCCTGCGTCCGCGCGGTTTTACACCGAGTCTCGCGCGCGACGCCTATTCGATTTCCGCGTTGGAAAGTTATGGGTTGGCTACCGAGGGGCTAGGAGCGTTGTCGCGTTGTTTGTGTTGTGTCGTTTCGTATATGTGTTGTTTTGTGTGTATGTGTATTCGTAAAGTGGAGTGCGCGTGGTGTGTGGGATGCGTCCTAGTCGACCGATGACAGGTCGCGCTTAGGACCTCAGCCCCCCCAAGATGCCGATTCGCGTGCGGGTTTGATAAAGGCGTATTACCGCGCATACCCCCTATGCTACAGCGAACGAGAAACGACCTCGGCTGGTCCACCTCTGCGATTGCAACTGATTAGCTTTCGTACAGTGGGCTGGTAGCTCGGCGGGGATACGCCCACCGAAGGGAGGTGACAGCTCCCGTAAGGTGTAGGTAAGTCGTGCCTCGCGTAGGCCCTATCCTTTCGTAGGGGCTCGCGAGAGGTATGGCTCGCGCACTCGGCCGGAGCGGCCTAAGGAAGCTCCGTATATATTGCGACGAAGGATTTAAAACCAACTCCTGCGTGACGTG